GCCATACTTCCACACCTTATCTCACATTCCATTCTAAAAGTATCTCGCTAAAGATACATATTTTTTCCAAATAGGTGTAACAGAAATTTATATTGAAGAACGTGGCCCGTTTTTTTGTGGTATTAATAAAAGACTAGAATTTGAGGCGTACCGTTGTAATTTGTTTTGTGAACTGTTTTGTGAATTGTTTTCTCTTCCACTAACAGTTTGCAAAATACTAACTCCAAAATTACGACACTTTCATATTGGCGCGTCTCAGAAACAAACTTTTTACTCCCTTAGTAAACTGAAGACATTTATTATAAGTAAACACCGAAATCCCACAACCCCTAAAAAGAATAACCCTATTTAACCCAAAAAAAAATGTCTCTGCTAGCCAGGTACTTGATTTTTTATCGTAATAAACAATATAATGATTAATTTTCAATAAACAAATTTCACTCATAACAAACGCAATCGAAGTAATACAAAACGCAGCAAATTTATAACAATGCGCTGCTTATTTTACGGCACGTTTGTAAATGGAAAGTTTACACTTTACCTTAAGCCAATTGTTAATATCATTGCCTTCGTATGATTTATTCGCGATACTCGCCTGGTATAATTTTATAGCACCGTTTGCTCACCATCAGTTAATTGTTGAAACGGCGATTCATTTATTTCGCGTATTACTAACACTTTATTTGGCGCAGAATAACCAATTGCGCGTACTGCGGTTTTTACACTTTAATTCAATTGTTTGCCCTTCAAACTTAAATGATCTGCCGCTTCAAATAATTGTATATCGCCGATTTACACGATTGCGCAAATTTAACGCAACTAACACTAACACTTATCTATTCCGATGCGCATCACTTGATCAGTTACATCTCACGCTTACACACCTTATCTCACATTCCATTCTAAAAGTATCTCGCTAAAGATACATATTTTTTCCAAATAAGTGTAACAGAAATTTATATTGAAGAACGTGGCCCGTTTTTTTGTGGTATTATAAAGACTAGAATTTCAGGCGTACCGTTGAAATTTGTTTTGTGAACTTTCGTGACGGCCGACCAAGAACGTTGCGCCGTATTCGGGTTGTTATTGTTAGCGATAAATGAGTGGTTTTCTATCGTAATCTTTCTCAATCGCGCAAATCAAAAACAGAAAGATACATTTGCCCCAAATAAGTCTACGAGTGCAATACGTATTTCAAACCGGGCGTAAGTTGAGGAATTTACACTATTATCAGTCAAAGCGCACCTTGACTTAAGAAAAGATGTCCGGGAAAGAAATGTTTTCAATCTGGGAGAAACGTAGGCGACTCGATTTACGCGTTTCGGGCCGTTGTACATTGCCCAACTTCATATACCATAAATACGAACTTCGACCTAGGGGAATCCTGAATTCAGACAATGTCTGCGGGAATCGATGCAATTTTAGGGGAAGATTTAGCGTAAAAAATGTGGTTAATTCCAATTCAATTGAGCTAGTCTATGCAACTCTTTTTTTTTGATAAAATTTAAAGTAATTAGTTCAAATGTTGTAACTACCCGGATAGCGACAGGGAAGAGGATAGGAGGGTAAGAAGCGTGATTTGGAGTTAGAAAGTAAAAGAAAAAAAAACGGAGAATCTGGGGGAAAGAGAGTGTTTTTTGCGTTAAAAATTTTGTATACAGGGTGTCTCAAGTATAAGGTATGACATTGGCATTCATTTTTTTAACGAACATTCTGCCGGCTACTCATAATTAGATTTTCTTTCTTCTGTTGAGGGCCCAGAACAAGAGAGGAACAATAAATTAAAAAAATAAATAAATAAATAATAAAATAAATTAAATTAAATTTCATAAAAATTTGTGGAGCCGTTTCGGAGTAGTACGGCCACAAACTCGGTGATTTTTATGTATTAGATGAGCAAAATTGCATGTATACCGTTTCGTACGGATAGTAGGCGCGAATCATGTTATTAACGATGATTATTACCAAGGTATGGAGTATGTCCATGTCTCATAAAGGAACTGCAATTACCAAAAACGCTGACCTTGTCCTAGGGTAGTATCTTCATCATCATGTTTTCAAATAATACCGATTAGAGGTCTTAAAACTTTTTTTTGTATTTCTTACCGAGTTAAAACACCGTAAATCATTCAAGTTTTCATTGCCGGAAAGAGTTTTCTTTTGAAATGGTTACCATCTACAATGAAACAGAGAGAAAAAAAGCCAGAAAATTAAAAAAGAGCGGGGTTTGGAGGGAGAAGCTAACAGCAATAGAGAAGATAAAGGCAGGAAGAGAGACGGGAGGGGGGTTACAAACACAAACAACAGAAGAAAATATAAAAACCAAAGAAAAATGGAGAACACGAACATGAAAATGATATTCTGGAATGTAGCAGAAGCAGCTGCGGTAAAGACGCGCTCAATTCTGGAAGTTTTTAAGAGGATAGGATGTCGTGGGGATGGTCGATTCTGGGATAGAACAAAAGAATTGGGAGTAAATAAGGTACGGGATGAAATCGAAGCAATTTGCGAAGAAGGACCATATAAAGGGACTAGCAAACGAGACATATATTAGCAGGGATGAAAAGGGGTGGGAGAATGGGGGATCAAACAAAAAAAGAGGAAGGGATATGATAGGGATACCAATATACATTAGAGAATGAATGGAAATGAAATAGAAAATGTGGTAGATGAAAGATAGAAGCCTCATCGGCTAATATCGGGGGGGGGGGGGCAGAACAGGAATTAAAGGAAAATGGGTAAAGATGGGTGCAACAAAGAGGGAGAGGTGTTGGAATTAATCAGAAGAGAGAGGTTGGAGAATTTTAAACGAAAATATGGAGAGGAATAGGGACGGGCAATTTCATTTGAGGAAAAGAGATGTCCGTAATTGGTTAAACAATAGTAAATTCAAAAATACTAAAGAAATGGATGAATTTAAGATAGGAACAAGGATAGAATCGGATCACGAACCGATGGAACTGAGTCCAAAAGGGAAGATGGGAAGAGCAAGAAATGAAAAGACGAAGAGAGATACAGTTATGGACAAGGAGAACAAATTGGAGGGAACAAGAAAAGAGATAGAGAGCAGAAAATAAAAACACTGAAGAAAGGGAAAGTGACAGAGAAAGACGAGATAGGTGTATTTAATTAATAAGAAAAAGTGTTTTCCCGATAAATTTTGGTGTAGTAGATTTTTGGTAAATAAGGGAGGTTATACACTGCCTTTTTTTGAGGCCCGAAAAAAAAATTGTCTCAGATCGACCCGGAAAAAAAATTTTCTTATAGAATGTGGCCTGTAGAATCCATAATTTCAAACAGTTCCAAGATTGGGATACTAGTTCAAATGTTACAGCCCTTTGAATTTTTTTTCGAAATTGGTTTCTAGTCTATAACTTTTGATTGAGAAGTCTAATCGAAAAAGTACGAATTGTTTTGGATTCTAAGCACCAAAATTAATAAGAAAAAGTGTTTTCCCGAGAAATTTTGGTGTAGTTGATTTTTGGTAAACAAGGAAGGTTATACACTGCCTTTTTTTGAGCCCCGAAAAAAAAATTGTCTCAGATCGACCCGGAAAAAAATTTTCTTATAGAATGTGGCCTATAGAATCCATAATTTCAAACAGTTCCAAGATTGGGCTACTACTTCAAAAGTTACACCCCTTTGAATTTTCTTTTGAAATTGGTTTCTAGTCAATAACTTTTGATTGAGAAGTCTGATCGAAAAAGTCCGAATTGTTTTGGATTCTACGCACCAAAATTAATAAGAAAAAGTGTTTTCCCGAGAAATTTTGGTGCAGTCGATTTTTGGTAAAAAAGGAAGGTTATACACTGCCTTTTTTTGAGCCCCGAAAAAAAATTGTCTCAGATCGACCCGGAAAAAAATTTTCTTATAGAATGTGGCCTGTAGAATCCATAATTTCAAACAGTTCCAAGATTGGGCTACTAGTTCAAAAGTTACAGCCCTTTGAATTTTCTTTCGAAATTGGTTTCTAGTCTATAACTTTTGATTGAGAAGTCTGATCGAAAAAGTACGAATTGTTTTGGATTCTACGCACCAAAATTAATAAGAAAAAGTGTTTTCCCGAGAAATTTTGGTGCAGTCGATTTTTGGTAAAAAAGGAAGGTTATACACTGCCTTTTTTTGAGCCCGCAAAAAAATTGTCTCAGATCGACCCGGAAAAAATTTTTCTTATAGAATGTGGCCTGTAGAATCCATAATTTCAAACAGTTCCAAGATTGGGCTACTAGTTCAAAAGTTAGAGCCCTTTGAATTTTCTTTTGAAATTGGTTTCTAGTCTATAGCTTTTGATTGAGAAGTCTGATCGAAAAGGTTAAGTATTCAAATACTATGCGAAGTATTCGAATACTTCTCAAAGTATTCAAATACCTTGCGAAGTATTCGAATACTAAATGTTTGTGAAAGTATGTGAGTTACAAATACAAATACTGCTTCCATACAAGTATTTAATTACAAAGTATTTAAATACTTTAAAGGATTTGAATACTAAAAAGTATTTACAAAATCGAATACTGCCCAGCTCTGCTGGCAGGTCTATTAACGGGGACGGTCGAATAAAAAGAGGAAGACCTGCATATACTGTTTCATTTTGAGGTGTATAATACTTCAGGACACAGTTTTCTGGGGAGAAGGAAGATTCGCCCAGTAATTCTTCAAAAAGCTCCTCCCAAGAGCATTTTAGATTTTTTCAAACACATGGGAGTCTTAAAGATAAACGCCCCAAGGTAGGGGTCAACTAGGAGTTTAAATAATGTAGACCCACATTTGGATATCAAGAGCAACACCATGAAGATTAGATTAGATTAGGTGCGACCTTGAGCCTAAATACTTTCAAAAAACTTTGGCGGTGAGCCGACAAAAGGAAATGGCGTATTAATAAAACCGCAAAGGTTGTAGACCTAAACCAAGAAGACTGTTCCCAAAATACGATTAAATTTGGCAACAAATGTCCCACGACCTTTGCCTTTGGCGTATCACCATAAACAATACGTACAACTTACCTTGGATTCAAGATCAGAAATGGCAACATACTTCACATACGGCGACGGTACCCTTTTCATGTGTCCCAAAAAAAACGGCAAAACTGACGCGTATCACTAACACCCACTTTTGTTTAATACGCACATGAGCGAAACTTGTTTACTAAAAGGCACCAACTGAGCGATTATTTAGTGTAGACGAATCGACCTCGGATAATAAACTGATTGGCTATTAGAAATCAAAATAACAGAAAACCTGGTCCGTCCAAAGCTGTACACAGTTGCGTTGGCATTTCCGTTTCGGATAGCTTATCTCCGCAAGTGAAATGTCATTAACGCTCTTTATTTATGGGGTCTATTGCGTCATTGAGTACGTACACATGCAAATATCGTTTGTTATTTACAAATTGCGAGAGTACCGGGTACCATTGGAGAATGAACGAACATAGTAACATCGCATCAGTACGACTGGGTACTGGTTCACTTCCAAAAGATGTCAGGACGTTTTTTAGATTCCCTTGGTTGAGTTTGTGAACACTCCGAACAGCCAGTCCGTAAATGATTAACCTTGAAGTATTTTTAGCAACGCGATTTTTTAATATTTTTGAAGTTGTACCTAGTACTCATATCACCTATTGCTCAATTAGGATGTGACCCTGTCAAAATTCTTAATTAGCTGAACATTTCTGAGAATATCACAATGATATCTGAAATCTCCCAAAAGACTGCCGCCAAAGGAGAGGTATTTGACAAACTCCAACACCAAACTAGATCTACTTGGAATATGCGGAACCAAAGATGGGATGAAATGTGTAGGTGTCTAAGGTTAAGGGAATGCGTCTGGTGGAACGTCTCGTACACAGTCGGACCTTTTGTGATAGTAAAAAAAAGCACGAATTAATTGTCCTTTACATTTTTACCGGTTACCGTTTAATGTAGATCTAATTAGACCCCTTATACACAACAGAGGTGCCCAGTTTTCATATTGACAAACTCGTTTTTTAATCGTCTAACCGCTTTAAATATATCCGCAATGAACGTTTTGCACCTTGGGCCCTAGCGCTTTCGTGGTAAAAATTTACTTATAATGCAATGACGCGAAAATCTTCACGGAAGTATTAAGAAAGTAACATATTAACTGTGTTTACAGTTGAACATAAATCCGCCGTCCATTGGTTTTCTTCACACGACGTAGGTTCCTTGTTCCATAAAACCATCTTCTATTTTTCCCTAGGGAATATCAGTGTAGGCGTTCCGAATCTCGAAATGTCACCCCGCTCGACGGAGGGGCCCGGTGACCCTCTGAAGATGTGACCCGCTACACCGCGCACACTCTCGACAAAATTTTCGTCTCCCCGATCGATACATGCGCCGTCCGCAAGTTTCACATTTTTTGTGGAGAAGACTACCACCTCCTCCCCGCTCCCTCCTGAAAGTGAACAGCATTTTATGAAAAAATTACATATTACATCGCGACACGCACTCAGGATAGTGCAACAATCCGATCACGTTATCGAGTAATCCTCGAAACAGTACAGCCCCCCCTCCCCCATTTCACGCTCAAAATAATTCAAAGGGCTCTTGAACTAGTAGCCCAATCTTAGAACTGTTTGAAATTATGGATTCTACAGGCCACATTCTATAAGAAAAAATTTTTTTCCGGATCGATCTGAGACAATTTTTTTTCGGGGCCCAAAAAAGGCAATGTTTTACCTTCCTTTTTTAACAAAAATCGACTGCACCAAAATTTCTCGGAAAAACACTTTTTCTTATTAATTTTGGTACGTAGAACCCAAAACAATTCACACTTTTTCGATTAGACTTCTCAATCAAAAGTTATAGACTAGAAACCAATTTCGAAAAAAATCCAAAGGGCTGTAACTTTTGAACTAATTGCCCAATCTTGGAACTGTTGGAAATAATGGATTCTACAGGCCACATTCTATAAGAAATTTTTTTTTCGGATCGATCTGAGACAATTTTTTTTCGGGGCCCAAAAAAAGGCAGTGTATAACCTTCCTTTTTTTATCAAAAATCGACCACACCAAAATTTCTCGGGAAAACACTTTTTCATATTAATTTTGGTGCGTAGAACCCAAAACAATTCGTACTTTTTCGATCAGACTTCTCAATCAAAAGTTATAGACTAGAAACCAATTTCGAAAAAAAATTCAAAGGGCTGTAACTTTTGGACTAGTAGCCCAATCCTGGAACTGTTGGAAATTATGGATTCTACAGGCCACATTCTATAAGAAAGTTTTTCTTTCCGGATCGATCTGAGACAATTTTTTTTTTCGGAAAAAAGGCAGTGTTTTACCTTCCTTTTTTACCAAAAATCGACTGCACGAAAATTTCTCGAGAAAACACTTTTTCTCATTATTTTTGGTGCGTAGAATCCAAAACAATTCGTACTTTTTCGATTAGACTTCTCAATCAAAGGTTGTAGACTAGAAACCAATTTCGAAAAAAATTCAAAGGGCTGTAACTTTTGAACTAGTAGCCCAATCTTAGAAATGTTTTAAATTATGTATTCTACAGGCCACAATCTATAAGAAAATTTTTTTTCCGAATCGATCTGAAACAATTTTTTTTTCGGGGCCCAAAAAAAGGCAGTGTATAACCTTCATTTTTTATCAAAAATCTACTGCACCAAAATTTCTCGGGAAAACACTTTTTCTTATTAATTTTGGTGCGTAGAATCCAAAACAATTCGTACTTTTTCGATCAGACTTCTCAATCAAAAGTTATAGGACTAGAAACCAATTTTGAAAAAAAATTCAGAGGGCTGTAACTTTTGAACTAGTAGCCCAATCTTGGAACTGTTTGAAATTATGGGTTCTACAAGCCACATTCTATAAGAGAATTTTTTTACCGGATCGATCTGAGACAATTTTTTTTTCGGGGCCCAAAAAAGGCAGTGTTTTACCTTCCTTTTTTACCAAAAATCGACTGCACCAAAATTTTTCAGGAAAACACTTTTTCATATTAATTTTGGTGCGTAGAATCTTTTTATAGTATTCGAATACCTTTGAAAGTATTCGAAAGTATTTGAATACTTATTTTTTAAAGTATTTGAATACTTTTCAATGTATCTGTGTCTAGTATTCGCTTGTGCTGGACGTGAAAGTATTTAGTATTTAGTATTCAAATACTTGTTTAAATTATTCTGCCTAGCTTTGATCTGAAAGCACATGTCTAACTTGGAAATAGACTGAGATGCCAGTACTCTAATTAACAATAAAATGACGTTAAAACAAAACAAATCTCTGAAACAGAGATATCAACTAAGAAATAAAGTTCGATAAGGAAGCTTGATGTAAATTTTTGTGTCAGTAAAAAATTAGGGTCAGGTTTCAGGGCAAACGGTCTACAGGGACCAAGGGTATTCCATCCGAACCTACCGATTAAAACGAGCCCTCTACATCTGGCCCAAAAACATTTCCAAACAACGACCAGTTAGTAGATCTAGGGAACCCTCCGCCATCTTAGATATTTGAACCAAGATAGCGACCCAAGTCTGGGATTTCTCCGACAAAAAAGTAGTGGCGTTGGTGAGGGTGTTCCCCGGTTGCATAACGAACGGGTGACCTTGTTTTATAGTGCCTGAGATTTTGCCGTCGAAAGTAGTGGTAGCCTTGGTGATTCTGTCAGGATAAATACTATAGATGGTAGCGTTCGGATGCCAGAAGTGCTTTTCTGCACCCCGAATCTTATTTACCTTGGTTACAATATTTATCATCCACGCCTACCATCTTTGTCTCTTATTCTTAAGGGTGGTGAGACTGTAACCCGGTGGTTGTACACCTAGATTACCACAAGTTAAGGCTTAAGGTATCGCCCGAGTGTGTGACTGCATTGGGGTGGCACTAATTCCGGACGGATATCAATTCCATCCCTTTCAATTACGAAAACCTCCTGCAGGAATTTGCGAGAAGCAATGGACTGTTCAGGTGGGATTTGGTAGAATGACAAATTTGCGTGGGGTGTGTGTGTTTACTTGAATTCCTAAATGATGTACCTAATTAGTAGTCCCCTTTATCAACAAATAAAACAAGTTGCGCTCATTAGATTATCCTAGCCCTCGTGTTAAATTCCGATCTTAAGCTCGATAACACCTCTTTTGGCCGTATAGTAAATTAAAGTGTATTATATAAAACATATCGAGCCTCGGGGGGGTGCCACGAACAAAATACCATTCTACCTAAATCATAAATAAATGTATGCGTAAGCCCCCGCGGGCACGCTTTTGTATTTTGAATTATATTCATCGGACACTTCTTAGAGCGCTCGAGGTTTCGATTTGAATTAGAAATGGTGGAATAATGAGCGGATTGTAGAGACGGGCGGCAGCTGAAAGGAGAGAGAGTCGGATGTTGCCTTCGGCGGCGGCGTCGACTGTCTATTTCGCCTCAGGGACATTCGTCTCAAACGCTGCGGGTATCCGGGGCCCGTAAGGGCCTCGGGGGCTGCGCGAACTCGGCCTGCTGCAGCCCCAGGCTATCAACTCCAATTGGTTCTGTGTAGAGGATATTGAGTTCGCAGTAACCATGGAAACTTTGCCTTTGGCGAAGTGTCCTCACACCGAGCCTTGCTTACCTTACTTTTCAACGAAATGTATTTTTCATACCTAATATTACTAAAAAAAAAGGAGACGCTGAACTCTGCCATTGTGTGCTTTACAAGCGAAACGAAAACGAATCGTTTTTTATCCGCCTACGCGAGTTGTCTTCGGGGTGTTCTTTGATTTCCGCATGAAATTCGAAGACAAAACACGGCGTTTACCATACACGCCCGTGATAGGGATCGGGTAACACACGTTTTCTTTTGTAGCAAGCGATTGATTACTTCATTCGCAATTAACCGGTGAAATTTCATTAAAGCACCGACAAACGTGGAAACGCTACCTGGTGAATTCTGAAGATTGAATTGACCCTCGACGAAGCTGTCGCAAATTCTTATATTCTGAACTGGAATTCATACTTTTTTTTGTCTATTGTAGATTCGCTCCAAGGAAAATTCGCCCAAGGAAAATTCTCCCCTGGAATAATTGCGTCGGAAAATTCGCCCTCGGAGTATTCTTCCCCAACAACACTTGCCCCAGAAAACTTTAGGCCCGAAAGATTGGCCACCGGAATATTAGATCCTTGGAAGATGTCCGCCGAAAATTCGCCTCCGAAATGTTCTCCCCCAACACCCCACACCACCTCCGGAAGATTCGCGCCCGAAAATTCGCCCTCAAAAGATTTCCCCGAAAATTCGCCTCGGGGTTTTCTCCCCCAACAACATTCACCTCAACAAAATTTACGTCCAGAACATTCGCTCAAGTTAATTTTCCCTTGTAATTTCGCCCCCCGAATATTATCACCCAGGAAAATTCCGCCCCGAGATATTCTCCGTTAAGAACTTCTCGTCCCCAGGTAAATTGACCCCACAAAAGTTGACCTCCGGAATATTCGCCACGGGAAATTCGCCTTTTGGAGATTCGCTCTAGTAAATTTTTCGCGCAAACTGCGCCCACGATATATTGCCCCAAAGAAAATGGACCTCAGGTCAATTTGATCCAGAAAAATTTACCTCCAGAAGATTTGATCCAGAAAAATTCTGCCCTCAACAGTTTTCCCAGATAAATTCGCCCCTGAAAATGTTACCCCTATTCAAAATTCGATTCCGGTATACTCACACCGAAAAATTCCTCCTTAGCAGCTTTCCTTCGAGATTCGCCCCCAGTATATTCTTCCCCAACAACACTCGCGGCCACATAAATTCGCCCCAGAAAAATTCCCCTGTAATTTAGCCCTCAGAATAGTGTCACGTAAGAAAACTAGCCCTCGGATAATTTCGATCCAGAAAATTTCACCCCCGAAATAGTCGCCACGGAAAATTCGCGTCCGGCAGATTCGCTCCAGTGAATTTTCCCCGTTAATTTCGCCCCCGGAATATTTCCCCCAAAAAACTCGACCCAGAAAAATTCCCGCCCGGATGATCCGCCTCCGGAAGATTACTTCCAGTAAATTTGCCCCGATAATCCAACCCCCAAAATGTTCTCTTTTAATAGAGAGAAAACTCTCCCACGGGTAAGTTCAGATACGAAATATGTGCTACGGAAAATTCCCTCCCGGTACGGTCTCCCCCAGCACTCTCGCCCAGATATATTCGCCCCAAAAAAATTTGCCTCCGGAATATTCGCCTTCGTAAGATTCGCTCCAGTAAGTTTTCGCCGCCAGTTCCGCCCTCGGAATATTCTCCTCAGAAAAAATTGGCCCCAGGTAAATTTGACGCAAAAAAATTCGCCTCCAGAAGATTTGCCGCGGAAATTCGCCCTCGGAATGTTCCACCCAGATAAGTTTTCCCCAGAAAAATTGATCTACGGAATATTCACTACGGAAAATTCGCCTTCGGAAGGTTTCCCCCGAAATGTTCTCCCCATTCGTCCCAGAAAATGTTACCTCCGGAATATTCGCCTTCAAAAGATTCTCTCCAGTAAATTGCCCCCGTAATTTCTCCCCCGGAATATTCTCCGCTAAGAAAAGTCGCTCCCACATAAATTCGACCTGATCCGGAATATTGGCCCTAGGTTAAGATTTCCTCAAAAACTTTGACCCGAAAAATCCTACTCATCCCCAAATAAATTCGACCGAAAAAAATTACCCACAGAGTATTCGCCACGGAAAATTCCCCTCCGGAAGATTCGCTTCACTAAATTTGCCCCCGGAGTATTTCCCCCTAAGAAAACTCACTCCGAGATAAATTCGACACATAAAAACTCACCTCCGGAATATTCGTTACGGAAAATTCGCCCTCGGAAGATTTCCCCCGAAATATTCTCCTCAATGAAAATTGGCCCCGAGGTAAAGTTGATCCTGATGAAAAATTCTCCTCCAAAAGAGTTGCACCGGAAAATGGAAAGATTTCTCCCGAAAATTCGCCCCCTGAACGGTCCACCTCAGCACTCGCACCCAAATATGTTCCAAAAAAAATTGATCTCCGGAATATTCGCTTCCGAATTCCCCAGGAAATTCGCCACCGGAATATTTTCTCGCAACAAGTTCCCCCAGATAAATTCGTCCCAGAAAATGTTACCTCCGGAATATTCGCCACGGAAAATGCCCCTCCGAATATTTCCCCCGAAATGTTCCCCCAGTACTCCCACAGATAAATTGGCCTCTAGAAAAATTACATCTGGAATATTCGCCACGGAAAATTTGCCTTTGGAAGATTAGCTCCAGTAAATTTTCCCCGTTAATTTGGCCTCCGGAATATTCTGCCTTCAGAAATTTGGTCCCTAGGTAAATTCGACACAGAAAAAATCGCCCCCCAGAAGATTCACGTCGGAAAATTCGCCCCCGGAAGATCTCTCCCAACCCCCAGAAAAATTTCGCTTCAGCAAATTGCCCCGGCAATCACCCCCGGAATATTCTCGCCTAAGAAAACTTGCTTCCAGGACAAATTCATCTCCGGAAAACATTCCGAAACCGAGTATTTTCCCCCAGCACCATACCCCCCCCCCCCCCCGGTTTTCTCACCGATGTACTTTATTCAAGACTGTAACAAATATCTTAGGACTGAACGTTCTGATGAAGTATGTAGCATCGGGTATTAATTATTGAGGGGGGGGGGCATGTTAGTAAGGGAGGTATTGCATTGGGTAAAAAATGCCCCCCCCCCCCACACTATTTTGGCGGAAATGCACGTTTTGGAGCATCAGGAATCCGAATTAGACAAAATCTCGATGACGTCGAACGGTATGTCGGTCCGTCTGTCGATCTGTACTCTCATTTCCGGCTAAACGGCTGAATCGATTGGAAACAAATTTGGTACACATATTCTATGTCGAAAAGACAGAATCGCGCATGTCAGAGACAACGTAAATACGAGTCTGCTATTGGCTAAAAGTGAGACGCGGTCGCGAGAATTACGTTGGTTCCGTTTCAGGTGTTCTACGCGGCAGCATAAATAGCAAGGTAAAAGAAAAACGTATTTCAAGCGTAACTTATCCATTTATGACGTGCAATTAGTCATGAGCAACTAGGTTCACTAAGACCCAAATAACACCACTCAAAAATTGCTAAAAATAAATAAAAGGGTACCCTTGGAGATTACTCACCAACACATTCGATAGTTATCCTCCAGGGCTGCAATGGATAGACAGATTCCCGAAAAAACTAGGAACGGCATAATGGAATATTTAGACAGTGAGAATATTTATTAAGAAATAACATCTCCAACAAACACAGTGTGTCGATCAATAAACTGGCGCTGTCTCATCACAGTGTTACTTTTAAATCTTAAACCCTCAAATCACAGTGAAATACACAATGAGATCAGCTGGTGAATTTTTCAAAACGTGAACGTATAAACATTAGGTTAATTATTTACATATTAATTACTTCAACAATATAATTTAAAAACTAATTAAGGCAAAGTCTTACTTAAATTAGAAGGAAAAAAGGACATTAACTGGCGCATCGGTTACGATCGCTGATTGTCTCCCCCGCGAAATTGAAGGTCTTCCAACCATCAACCAGGTAGCGCTTTCCTAATAAACAGGTACTCTGAGAACTGCTGACCCTCGACGCCGCCGCCGTTGCTGGCGGCCACCCGAAATCCGGCGTTAAGCAACCTGGTTATCGCCTGCACGGAGTTCAGCTTGCAGTAGCCGTTCAGCGGGAATCGGATGACGTGCCGCGCGTCCTGCTGGTTCCACGCCATACCCGAGCGGGCGTCCATGAGCGCCTGGTTCGTTTCGGGGAAAACCTCGTCGAGCAGCGTTCGATCTCCGGACAGCATGATCCGCTCGCCCAGATCGGGGCTGATGTGCAGCGCGACGCACTCGTAACTATCCGCCGCGGCGTTTCTGTACGGGCCGAGCGAATCGTGCGACCTCCCCGAATTGCCGTCCATGCTGTTGTTGTGCGCGACGTAGAGACCGTTCTTGATCTTCTCCTTCTTCAGCTGCTCCAATTGTCGGATCATCGCTAAAAGAATCGTTTCGAAATGCCTCGAAAGATGGTTACTTACGAGCAATGTCGAAGTATCGCGCCTCCTCCAGGAGCAGATCCAGGTCGGCGAAGTTTTCGGGAATGAGCAGTCGGGAATTTCGCATAAAGTTAAGTATATGTCTAAACATTGCACCGTCTCTATCTATAAAATAGTGTTGCTTTAAAGAGTCTAATACTATTGGTATGCTTCCGTTAAATAATTTCGCCAGTCTAGATTCTGGATATCTGAAACGAAGAGAAAAGGTAGGTAAATACAACGAGAAGTTACAATACGTAAGTAGATTGAGACCGGAAACACGAAAACCTGTGAAAATTATGGAATTTGTGATAAAAGATGGATCGGGGCCAGTTTTGAGGGGTTTTGTAAATAAAAAAAATAGGTAGGGATTAATCTAGAGGCGAGTTTTAGGGGGGATTCTGTCTTAGGCCATCGTTGAAATCAGAATAAATACGAATTCAAGCCACTAATAAGTAAAAAGAAAAATTGGTCCGGAACCAAGTTCAATTTATTAGATTTTCTTCACGCACGGATGCTAGAATATTGACATAATAAAAATCGATCCAGGTTCCACTTCCTCTTACATTTTTTTATTTCAGTGTTTCGTTTCGGTTCTAACTTACCCCTATTTAACACTCAGTAACAATGATAAATATGGCCACTTTATACAAAGAGGAAAACAACTTATAGCTAACGAAATTGGACTCATTTATAGGAATAGTAATCTTTTAACTTACAATACCATTTCTGCTCCGTTCGCCCAATTTACAAGGATCGATTCCCTAAGGGATTCTTCTGATTACTTTGAATAACCTTTAATTCAATTTCTTAAGGAGAACCGATAGTTATTTTGAATACAAATCAAAAATAGTCGCGTTACCTTAATTTTAGCGTTTTCTGGAATCGATGGTTTCCCTATGGTACAAATCAGTACCGTCTTCCTCGAGCAGGATAATGTACAACGAAACCTGGACCTTCGGAAAGAGTACCTCAGACGTTTTTAGGATGGTTTGTACTCTTGTCCGCTTTTAATCGACTTTCCGCTCTCGAAATAGACTTTATTAAAAGCGCATTGCACGCCCAAACCGAAACCGATTTGTTTCTTGAAACTTTTGCTTTCAAAGTGGAATTTTTCTATGATTGAAACTGTCACTCTAAACGTCTGATTGACTCGACGGAAAAGTCCGCTCGTACTTGCAGATACTAAATCTATACGGCGGTGTTACAGAAAGAGTGTATTTTTCCTGAATCTCCACGATAAACCTTATTTTATGGGTTCACGAAACGCTCGGTTACATTTTCGAATTCGGTCATTTACAGCCGTTCAATTTTTGACTGACGGAGGACTTTGGTGCTAACTTAAACTACGGATTCTTTGACTTGAGCTCCAGAGTAAATAAAATCGTACTGGAAGAAACAGGAGAATTTCAATCAGGAATAAGGATCACCAACCGACAGAAATGAGTTGAAAAGGGAAGGTAAGAAGTACAGAGGTGTGGAAAATAGTATTAAAAAAGCAATAACGTGGAAACAGCAATCGAAGGGGAGGGAAAAAATAGAAAAGAGAGGTGAGAGAGAGTGTACAGAAGTGAGAAACAGAAGTAAGAATAATGATGGAGAAAGAAAGGGTTGAAAAAACAGAAAAAAAGAAAGAATACGAAACAAGTATAAATTGTGCAGATAAAACGCATTTTTTAAACCAAATAGCTTGGTCAATGGTTGGGTTATAAGAAGAGGAGGCTGTTGACACACAAACATTTGTGGACCGCCTGGCATACATTTAAAACCCTCCGATATATTTGTTCCAGACGTCCCAATTGTCCTTTGCGAGTACCGACAATCCGTTCTGGAGATATATGAGAGAGGACAGAAAGAAAACGGTTTCTTTCGTTGAGACCTTTAATTAGAATACCGTGAAAGATAAAATTAATTTCTAGCACGCCATTCCACACAGCATTATTTATTTGGCACCCAACGTGGGGCCACAGCAATATGTATTTGGCGCCAAACGTGGGGCCACAGCAATAGTATCAAGAAAAGAGGAGGAAACCAATACATGAAAAGAGTGGGGACTACTTGAAGTATGGAACTGTGAATAATGTACTGCACAGATTGGTGGAAAAGGGATTGGAAAAAAAGGGCGGAAAGATGATAGCGTTTTTCACGGATTTAAAGGCAGCGTTTGAAAGAGTGAAAAGGACAGAATCAAGGAAATAATGGAAAGACAAGAATGAGAGTAAGGATAGAAGGCAAGAAGTGTTCTTGACATGTAAAGGACTGAGATAGGGATGCCCACTTAGCCAAACTTTAGTTAATTTCTACATGAGGGATATGAAATAATAGTAAAGACAGGGTCAAAGTGGAGGGATCCCAGTGGGAAGAAAGGTACGTGGGGGACAGAATTAGTATTGACAACAGAGATAGAACAGATGAAGGAAATGGTGGGAAGAAGGTGTTGGGAAAGAAAGGGAATGTAGTCAAAAATGACTTTAAAACAAGAAAATACCTATTTGAGAGAATAGTCAGCGGGAGGAAACAACAAAAATAGCAACAGAGGGTGAAGATAGAGGAAACAGTAGGTACAAGGAACTATTGAGGGACTGGTTGCCGAAATACTTTTGAAGGAGAAGAAAAATGTTGAGATAATGGCGACGTTCAGATGCGGAAATGAGGAGTGAGAGGAGAAGACGTGGAGAAAAGCAGAAACAAATGCAGAATTTGTGGACATGGAGCGTCGAGAATGCAAGGAAGTAGAAAGGGCAAGGGGAAGCAGGAATGACGTGCTGAAAGAGGGGGGAAGAGGAGAGAAGTGGTTGATTCACTTGAGCTGTACCAAGTCTCAAGCGCGGTCAATTCGCCCTGTTACGGCTTCCCGAAAAACAAACCCTCCTATTCCACAACCTGCTTTTTCAATTTCCTCAAAATCGCCTACGAAATGGTGCTAATATGTTAACGTGCCATTCTTTAATTGTTAATAAATAGACGATGAGGCGCTACAAAAACCATCAATCAAATCCCACCATCTCGTGCTGTTCCATGGCATCACTTAAGCAAGACGTAAAGATTGCGTTATCGCCCGTCAGACTGGCGCTAATAACTAACCGGTCACGACGCATCCAGTAGCCATTGATTGACAAAGTATAGATCGCAAAATGTATTAAGAATCCACATACTTTTATAATCTGAACCCCTAGCTTATGGATAATTCTCCACTGGCTTTAGAAAAGGTTAGTACTTCTGGATTTAATGTGGCCGAAACATATTTAGAGCCCAGATGAAGAGAAGTGCCAAGGGCCTTGGCACACTTATCATCAACAAATTGTCCACAGTATTAAAACAATAAGCTGATCCTTTTTCTCTTCGCTTTGTTTGCAACAAAAAAGAAGCTATAGTGCCCTATAGAAATAATTTAGAAAAAAGTTCGAAATCTAACACCTACACCTTTCGCAACGAGTACGTAAATACAAACGGTAGAAGATGCGTTCTTGCAACGGCGAAGATAAAGAGGAAACTGGCGTAATTTATGACACCAATGATTAAGATGCACGATATTGTAAACACTTGAATATAATACAATTTAACCTTTAACAGTTTTAGAGCGGACGGTCTAGCAAGATTTATGAATTCTTCCACATTCTTGAGATGGTGCGATGGCGGTATGTGGGAGGGCATGTTCCCATGCCTGCGCGCCCTCTGGGTGTCACGGTGCGTCTCGGCGGACGGCCGCCGGTCCCGTTCGCCCGTTTAACCCATATGGCGGCGCCTGCGGCCATTTTTTCTTTTGTTGTTTTTGTCTGCAGCGAACTGTCATGTACGTTTCGTGCTATCGACTTGTACGAGAGAGAGAATTTTTCATGCTTGATTGTGCACTAGAATTCCTTATTGAGATTTTATCGCACGATCATATGGAGCTAATTTACATTTCGAAGCAACGTTTCGGGAAATAATTTACTGCCGTTAGTTGGTAATTATACGAGGCGTACTTTCATCTCTTAAATCTAATGGAGACGAACGTCGGCAAGGATTGGTAATTGGCGCTAACGTAAACGCTGAAGAGGCTACTGAAAATCAACTACCAAGTGGTGCTAATTAACAGTTTTCAGAGATCTCTAAAACTGTGGAACTGTGGGAAATTCTAGCTACGTTTGGTTCTGAGATACTGGGTGGGTTACTACACTGCCAGCTCTTCCGGATATAATCTTTCAGATAGATAGATATTGAAAACCATTTTTTCTATTATCCTCATCATTCATTCTTCTCCTCTTCTCCCCCAACAACCAGTATTTCTTTCCTGCTTTCCCTTGTTTTTTCTACCTCTTTCATTTTCAGGTGGTCAGTATTTTCCTCTTTCTCTTCACATAGTCTGCATTTCGTTTCTTCTGTCTCTCCCCACTTTTCCTACCCTTCCTTCTCAAAAATGCGCTGAGAATAACAAAACTGCAACTACCATACTCTAACCACTACGTTTAGAGCCTGGGGTCGAGACCTAGATTGCTCCTCCCTGACATGGATTTGGGTAAACTGATTAGGGACGGAGCAGATTAGGTCCACTTTATCGAATGTGCGTTGACTTGAGCGGTGTTGTAAGGAGTGAAGTGACACCGTTATCCTGCGTAAATTAATTAGTTTCAAGATAAGCACGTGTATATAAGCTGGGTAGTATTCGATTTTGTAAATACGATTTAGTATTCAAATAATTTAAAGTATTCAAATACATTGTAATTAAATACTTTTATGGAAGCAGTATTTGTATTTGTAACTCAAATACTTTCACAAATATTTAGTATTCGAATACTTCGCATAGTATTTGAATACTTAACCTTCCTTTTTTTTACTACTCCAAAATTTCTCGGGAAAACACTTTTTCTTATTAATTTTGGTGCGTAGAATCCAAAACAATCCGTACTTTTTCGATCAGACTTCTCAATCAAAAGTTATAGACTAGAAACCAATTTCGAAAGAAAATTCAAAGGGCTGTAACTTTTGAACTAGTAGCCCAATCTTGGAACTGTTTGAAATTATGGATTCTACAGGCCACATTCTATAAGAAAATTTTTTTTCCGGGTCGATCTGAGACAATTTTTTTTGCGGGCCTCAAAAAAAGGCAGTGTATAACCTTCCTTTTTTACCAAAAATCGACTACACCAAAATTTCTCGGGAAAACACTTTTTCTTATTAATTTTGGTGCGTAGAATCCAAAACAATTTGTACTTTTTCGATCAGACTTCTCAATCAAAAGTTATGGACTAGAAACCAATTTCGAAAGAAAATTCAAACGGCTGTGAATCAGTAGCCCAATCTTGGAACTGCTTGAAATTATGGATTCTACAGGCCACATTCTATAAGAAATTTTATTTTTAAATTTTTAATATATTTGAGTGACAAGTATTTGAATACTTTTTACTGTATTCGAATACCTTTGAAAGTATTCGAATACTTTTGAAAGTATTCGAACACATTCTAAAGTATTTGAATACTTTTCAATGTATCTGTATCTAGTATTTAAATACCTTTGATTTGTGTAAAGTATTTACTATTTAGTATTCAAATACTTGTTTAAAGTATGCTGCCCAGTTCTGGCACGTGTTATCGCAGATGTTTTTTCGAAGACGCAGTGTGTAGTGGAAAGGAAAATTGTTTTAAATAGGAGAGGCGGACGTTAATCGGTGCTTGTTTGGTGGTGGATTGTTTTTTATTTGCTGAACGCTTGTTGTTTCGGCAGATTTGCCGTTACATTGAACATATTGAAAGACAGTCGGTCCTTATAATCGTAAAGTTCTTGTTATAGAAGAAAGTTAGTTGAGCGCTACGAGTATTAAAATATTTAGGTCGTCGTGATAAAAGTAAATGTTTTAAGTCGAATTAAAGAACCCAGAGTCATCTACAGACAGATTAAGTCCAATAATTAAATTAGAGATGTGAAGTTTCGAAGTTTTGGTGTTATATATAATTTCCCTTTTCCTTTCCCGTGTTATTTCCGCCAACATTTTCTTCTACTTCAACTGCTCTCGCCTCTATTACGTTCTCCTCTACTTATAGGTTTTCATTCAACCATTTCTCCGTGTGCTTATCTTTACCTTTTTCCACATTGAGTTCTTCTAGCGTTACATTGTGTCTTATTTTCTCTCTATCTTTCTTTAACTTTCTTCTTTTAATTTTGCTAGGAAAAACTCATCAAACTACTACGTTGGTTCACTTTGCTAAATCCGTTTCCAGTATATTCGTCTGGGAATATTTTCGAATCCCACACTCTAAACTTACCCCCCTTGACAAATCGCCTTCTAGGGTCCTTTTCTAGAATATAACCCAAAAAACTCCCCTGTGGAATATTTACACACTGGGAAATGAGTCTATCGGAAAACTTTCTCCCGAATATTTTTAAATATCGTTTCCAGTAACTCAAAAAATTCAACCCATGGTGACTCTCGATTTCTTATGTCCGTTAATCATTTACCACCCCCTCCATCGGTTTGTAATAACTTCCACTTTATTTGCTTCCTAAGCTTTCAATTAATTGCTGCGAGATAAATCGTGTATTAGGGGTTGTAGGTGCCAGCTATTTACAAGAATTAAATTAATTTATTGCTCCTATGGTTTTAGTGCCAAACTACTGTCTATGCTAATCGATTGCAATAAATTTATTTAAGCTTGTAGTTAACTGGCACCTCCAACCGTTAATACACGATTTATCGCAGCAATTAATTCGAAAGTTTATTTATTAAACAAATAGTTGCTACTAATAAGGTCATAAAAAATATTCCTATTCTGCTTGTAATATGTTTCGGGTCTAAATTCATTTAGCCCATTTGTGGGAGTTCCAGATTAATGTAAAGCTAGCACCCCCTAATGTCATAAAAGGAATTTTGCATAACTCTTTCTTTCCTTGTCTCTGCCATCTATATTTTTTCTTTGTCTCGCTCTTTTCTCTTCTTCTCACTATTATATTGTCTCTTCCACTGTTCAGTTTCGATAACTCACTTGTATTCATCCCTACATCTCTGTTCCATGCCTCTCTTTCCAGCGCATTGAGTAGGTATGTTCTTAATCTGAACTGATTCATCCACATCTTTTCGCCTAGTCCCCATACTTGGTTCGTCATCACTCCTTCTTCCCTTATTCACTTATTTGAGGGTTTGCTCAATTTTTTTTGCGTATGGGATCCTAACGATCTTTCTTTTTCTATTTCCACCCTCCTCTTCCATTCTACCTCTCGTTTCCCACAAATTCTTTTAACGCGCGAGTGCAGAAAGTATGATTGTGTAAACAACGAATTTAGCACCTTAATGTAAAATGTCTCATTTTTTTCAAATAATTCTGGTGGGTTTTTACGAATAAACACAAAGTGCGATCGTTTCGTTTGAATTTGTATTTCAGTATTTGTGTTTGCTTTTAGAAATGTGTGTAATTTTCGTTGTAATTGTAATTGTATCGATTTTGTTTAGTCTAATTGTAATTGGCGGTGAAAATTGATAAAGAAAATTATTTGATGGTAGAAGTGGTGGATCCTTTAAATACGAGAGATACCTTTTAAACGTTTTTTTTTATTGGTGACGGTACGAACGCCTAGGTGCGTGGTGTGTAAAAAACAGGCTCTAAATGCCTTCCTTTCTTCCAGTATTATTGTTTGAATTTCTTTTGCGTTTTGCAAAATAGATGTTTGTCTTTGTTAATTAAGTATTGCTCTTCTAGTATAAAAACAGTCACGTCAATCATCGCAGGTCATCGCCGCCCACTGCAAAACTAGTCGCCTGTGACAGTGGCCGACTACCTGCGACTGTTATATTAAACGACGAATAACTGTGTTTAATCGAACCCAAAGTGCGACCCAGATGGAGTTTTCATATCATATTATTTTATTCGTGTATAAGAATTGTCACGTGTTACTTAAAATTTCTTTAGTTAATTCTTTGAAATTGTCGGAAGTTAGTGGAGGCCATCGTGTCCTTAAAATGAATAAAATTTGAAGTTAACTCTTTAAAGGGAACTTGGTTTGCAGAAAAATCTGAAAGTATTAATTAAACAACATGAAGATGAGGAAAAGAACGCGATCAAAAGGTACAGGGAAAAGAGGAAGAAGACAATTGAAGATGGTGTACAATCTAAATATGCAGAAACCTTTTGTGTATAATAATTAACAACAGGTGCAGCTCCATCTTCATCACCTAATTAGCGCCAGGACCAAAAGAAGAAAAAAATTCAAAGGTGAAAAGGCAAGAGAGAACGTAAAAAACGCGTCTAACTGCCGGCGGCCTGGCGCGTCGTATTTATTTACGTAACGGTAGACTTAAATTAATTGAAAATAATTAACGAATTAAACGGTAGGTAAGATGCTAATTACTTACTTGGTAAGTGTTTCTAATGAGGACGTGTATATAGTCCCGCCGACGTCGATATGAACCGGAGCCGTATATCTGGAGGCGGCCGCCACGCACGGTATTCCCGTTATTTTATTATAATTAACGGCAGGTGGTGTTGGCGATGACGAGTTTGACATTGTCGGTGAAGTTGCCGGTGAACTATTGGGAGACATCAGCCTAGAAAAAAGAAACTGAATTACTTTCTTTTCGACGCGATTCGCTTGTTTTGTATGCAAATTTGCGCCTCCTCCACTTATGATGACAAGGTGACGTCTGCATCCTTAAATGGTGATTTAACGAACGCGATTGCCGTACTTGTGCTCTCAAATCCTCACAGAATTCCTTCGCTATTGAAATAAACGAATGACCAGTAGCGTTTCAGTTTGCAACTACTAAAAATACGCTTTAGGCAATTGCGCGAGTGCGCCCGCTTTTTCACTTCTTTTATTCCTGCCTGGAACTAATTCAAATTAGTTCTAAAATGAACTTACAACGCCCTATAAAAGCCTCTCCAGAGCTCTCTAGGTCCCTCACAGTGGTTTAGCAAGCTGCGTACAGGTCTAGTGCCCTAGAAAGATCCCGAAAGGGACCAGGGAGGTAATGAAATGATTGAAAAGCGAAGGGTTTCCAGTCTATTCTTTTCTTAGAGAAGGTTGCGGACCCGTTTGTGCCCCTTTCAAAGTGTCTAAATAAGTTCACTAGAAAGCATTGAAGTTGAGGTGGAAAAGGTTAGAATCCTCTAATTTACACTGTCATGAATAATTTGTTTGAGAGCCACTGCATTTTTTAATTATTATATCTTGTTTAGTTCGTGGCGAATTCTTATTGGCCCAGTCTTAAATCGAGTTGAAGTACCTGTGTTCATCGCTAAAATTCACTAAACAACTTATACTGGAACGTGCACTGGCGGCCTCCTGCCATAGAAACGTAGCGCGCCGAGAGAGATAGCAAGCAAAGGGGATATCTGTCACTGTCACTCGCACGCGGTCATCTATGTCACTAAGTAAATTGCGAGATGACAATCGGTCGCTCTATTCATGCGCGTACTGACGGCGGAAGTGCAAGATTTTGTAGTATTATTATCTTATGGCGATTAACCGGATACGGTGTAAATCTCAAGGTAATTTTGGGATAGAGTCAACGCACTTATCTCGCATTGTGGAGGATTTATTTGAATTATGATGAATATATTGTTTAATTTACGTAGCTTAGACGGGGTCGCAAGGACATTGTGAAGTCCGAAAGGCATCCTACAGATCTGGAACAAAACCTCTGTTGGATATTATGAACGTAGTATATGGTCTTGATGACTCTACCATTGGTAACTGCCAATAGGAGGACTTCATGTCAAGTGTCGTTATATATCTTGCATTTCTTAGCTTATAGAAAGTGGCGTTAACGTAAGGGAGGGGATAGACATCTGGTTTACTGACCTTATTTACGCGCCGGGGTTGGGTTTAGAAGCGCCCTGGATAAGCATAGGGAAGAAGAGGGAGCTTTTGGATTTCTTTGTCCTTGTTTGACACTCGGGAATACTTATTTGTGTTTTATGTTAGAAGGCCAATTTGGAAAGCATTAACTTAAACTGGCCCTTTTTTACAACGTGCACGTTAATAGAGGGAGATATTGTATTGGTATAAAAAAGTTGATTAACCGAATATGGTGTAATTTTTGTGATCGCATTATGGAGGATTTAATTGAATTGTCGTGAGTACGACCATTCTGGGCACCACTGAAAGACACAGCATAGAATAATGAGTCTTAAATCCGGGAAGCATTTCTTGAATTCGAGGGGGAATAGGACTGTTTCGGTCCCATCAGTTTCATATATGCTTTCGACAGCTTTATAGGCTCACGGGACACAGAAGGTTCTCGTTTATATGATGCAGTTAAAGAACAGTGGAAAGCAGACTCTGAAATACCCCCTCAATATTTCAGGGCCTGCTTTCCCAAGCAATTTCTCGTTATTCAAAGGACTCTAAACGCATAATAGAGATTTTTAGTGCCTTACCATACCCAATCAAAGCTTTCTATCCTGCCCGTACTTAAATAGCCTACAAAGTCCTGAAAAGCTCTCAGGAATGGCAGGAAAGTACATAAGAGGCTTTTAAAGCTTTCAAGGAGGCTACGGTAGGATCTGTAAAGTTAGAAAAGTCGATGTCATTGTAGAAAATTCTTTGGAAGGGGCTTAGGACGCTTTAAACGATCCTGCGCGCTCCGGAAAGGGGTCCCAAATACGTGGACCGACCTTAAAAAGCTCTAAAATGGGTCTATGGAAATTATTTAAACGTTTTTTTTTGTGTACCATGGGTCCTATTTTGATTGAGACTTTTAATATCACAAGCAAAATCAATCCAGCTGTTTGTTTCCGACATACAGGGTGAAATCAAAAAGTTTGACTTTTTGGAATGTTATAAACTGGACTGTAACTTTTGCTCTAGTAGTCCAATCTTGGAACTGTTTGAAATTATGGATTCTACGGTCCAAACTCTATAAGAAAATGTTTTTTCCCGGTCGATCTCAGACAATTTCTTTCCGGCCTCAAAAAAGGCAGTGTATAAACCTTGCTTTTTTACCAAAAATCGACTGCACCAAAATTTCTCGGGAAAACACTTTTTCTCACTAATTTTGGTGCGTAGAATCCAAAACGATTCGTACTTTTTCGATTAGACTTCTCAATCAAAAGTTACAGACTAGAAACCAACTTTTGATCTAGTAGTCCAATCTTGGAACTGTTTGAAATTATGGATTCTACGGGCCAAACTCTATAAGAAAATGTTTTTTCCCGGTCGATCTCAGACAATTTTTTTTTCCGGCCTCAAAAAAAGGCAGTTATTACCTTCCTTTTTTACCAAAAATCGACTGCTCCAAAATTTCTCGGGAAAACACTTTTTCTCACTAATTTTGGTGCGTAGAATCCAAAACGATTCGTATTTTTTCGATCAGACCTCTCAATCAAAAGTTATGGACTAAATACAAATTTCGACAATATACAGGGTGACAATTTGAAAACTTACCACCCCCCATATCTTAGTAAATAAACGAGATATTTAAAAAAATCAAAATCCGTTTCGGTAATTCGGAGGGGAATCACAATGACATAGTTGGCGACGCACCCCCTCCAACCCCCTGCGCCCCAGCCACCCCAACTTTTAAATCTTAAATAGTGACCCCCCATGTGTGATACGTTGTTGGAAAGCTCTGAAAAAATGCTTTCCAACCATACCAAATAGCATTACATTTAGGTTAGTAATTATCGTGCAAATCAAAAAATAAACTAATATGATACATTTGAATTTAAATAAATAATAACTATTTAAAACGCAACCGGCGAACATAGACGAACTAAGACAGAGAATAATTCAAGAATGTCGAAATATTGCAAAACCAACATTTGAAAAGGTTCGACAAGAGTTTGAGAATAGATTATAACTGGCGATCAAAAATGAGTTGCTATCGAGTCGGCTTTGGAAGTTCAAGTTAAATACGATTTTCCATGTTTATTTTTTGATTTGCACGATAATTACTAACCTAAATGTAATGCTATTTGGTATGGTTGGAAAGCATTTTTTCAGAGCTTTCCAACGACGTATCACACATGGGGGGTCACTATTTAAGATTTAAAAGTTGGGGTGGCTGGGGCGCAGGGGGTTGGAGGGGGTGCGTCGCCAACTATGTCATTGTGATTCCCCCTCCAAATTACCGAAACGGATTTTGATTATTTCTTTAAATATCTCGTTTATTTACTAAGATATGAGGGGTGGTAAGTTTTCAAATTGTCACCCTGTATATGTAATTTTTTGATAGTATTAAACGAATACACTGGCCGACCCGGAATTTTCTACTCTCCGTAATTTTGACGAACGTTTAATTTAGATGGAATCTTTTTGCCTTTTGTATCTTCGCATGCTACGTTTGGTAAGTACCGCAATTTTGAACTATTCCGTAAATATATTTTGCATTCATACCATTTTTGCTCTTACATTAAGTTTATCGTACCGTATCTACAGCTTTTTTTTCTTGCACAGTAATTTCGACTCCTCCGTTTTATTGCACGGTAAAATTTCTGTTACTCTGTTCCATTAAGAGAGTAATATTGTTTCGCTTTCCTGCATTTGCTTTCCCGTAGAAACCGCTAATTAATTTGTGTCTTGTTGCTTTCATTCCCGGTTCCCGCCAACCGCTGCTACTACCGACCATGATCAGGGTCAAGGCCGACAATTCGATGGCCTTCCTGATCTCTATCTCGACAATTCAAAGTAGGGGGGAGAGGAGTGAGACTATTAGAGTTAATAGACGGGAGTGCTAACTGTGAGTCCGTTACCTAACTGAGAGGACAACTGTTTGAAGCACAAAAAAGGCTTTCAACCAAGTTTTAAAATTACGCTAACGCAGAAAACTTACCTCATTTTTATCTGTGTACTGGAAAACATGTTTCGATTTGTTAAATCCTTAGGTTCCTTTTCGACATCATTTCTAATGTCGTTTTTCCTTCTGCAAATAAGAGAAAGTCGATTTTAAAATTGAGGCACACGTACGAAAACTGCACGAATTTTCGCGCAACTTCACAACATAATTGCAAGTTCGCCGCTCGCGCGGTTAGGTAAATGCTTTCGTAGAAAACAATAGTGGTCGAGTTTCGTCATTTCCTAAAATAAATATTAGCTTTCCAGATGTATCGCAAGAAGTAACGGTATCGTTTGTAATTCTACAGAATTCTCATTTAGCTTTCAATTAGCTTAGACAAATAGCATTCCGAATGGGTGCTGACCGTGCAACGTGAAAATGAAAATAGTAAAATAATGGAAAATAGCAGTCCGCATGTTTTGGGCTCGCTTAAAGGGCTTTCGGTGCGAAGAATTTAAATTGTGCCACAGAAAGTAGCAGGTTAATTTTAATTGCACGTGCAAAATTTGTATGGGTTCTTGAGGACATTTTCAATGATTAAAGATGAAGGTCTGCGTTAATAAGAAACCATTTTGTATACGTTCTTCTAATTAATAAGGAATGGAGGAGGGGGCGATTTTTTATTAGAACGTAAATTTGAACGTGAGTTCCGGTAGTTATAGAGGAGAGAGAAAACTTTGAATAATTTCTTTACGTTTAAGTTTTATCTACGCAAAAAAACGGATTAACGCGACAATAGGAGGAAGTTAATAAACGGTTAACGTGGGAAAACTTATATGGTGAAGGACAAACTAATTAAGCGCGCCAGTATAATTCTTCACCATAAAGAGCTATTGGTTACAATACAGTGTAGTTGTCTCCGTTTAAGGACAATATTAAAAGCCTTTAATTGTGTATTCTTTTAGAAATACAGAGTTTAACCAACCACAATATTTCTTTCTACAAGCTTATATTTACAAAATGGATACAAGACTGAAGCTTAATATATTATTGACAGTTTTTGACATACGTATACTAACTCGATAATTTACATTCTCCCACAATTGACACCACAGGTTTCAATTCACGTTCAACTTCTATCTGCGTTACAGTTAACAATGACGTCATCAATGTAGTCCTCGAAGGGTTCACTTCCAATGGGTACAAATTTTGAATGGGTTTTGTTTGTAGTCCTGCTTCTGTTTTCACTTTGACTACTCGAACAATTCCATCTTTACCGGGGATCAATTCCATAACACGACCTAACGGCCAAAATACACGTTTTTTCCGGTCATCTCGTACAATTTCATTTAATTCCAGCTTACGAGATGGCTTCTGATTTATTCTACTTATGAGCTGAGACAAATATTCCTTTCGAAAACGTTGTCGTAACTCATCTCTCAGTTTCTTCATGTACTTCCATCGATAATTTAGATTTTCAGAATCCATATCTCCTTCCGGGAACTTGAGTCCACATTCGTTTGACATAAACATGGAGGGAGTTAGGGGTTCTAATTCGTCGTTATCTTCACTAACATACGTTAGCGGTCTCCCGTTGATCACCTCTTCCATAATAAGCAATGAATCATCTAATTCCTTCCTATTGAGAGTAGACTTTCCAATAGATCGTTTCATCATATCTTTCAGGATCCGGATGATACGTTCCCAATATCCACCCCACCACGGGGCGGCAGCAACATTGAATTTCCACTGAATTTTTTCTAAAAAAGTATCTTTTCCAATAACTTTCCAATCCAATGATTTGGAGAAGTTACTGCATCCTTGAAAGTTAGTTCCGTTGTCACTCATCACAAGTCTTGGTCTTCCTTCTAATCTAATAAATTGTTTGAAAGCTCCAATGAAGGCTTCCGTAGACAATGAATTGACAACTTCTAATCTGACAGCTCGAAACACTGCACAAGTGAATATGATTATCCATACTTTCTTTTGATTTTTTAGATATAAGGGGCCTGTTGCATCCACTCCAACTACTTCAAATACTTTATTAGCTTCTAGTCGTTTCAAGGGTAGAGGTGAGGGTAACACAGTAACATTTTTAGCACCAACTTTTCTACATATTACACAGCTGAATATAACAGACTGTACCGTTCGTCGTGCTTTGATGACCCAATATTTTTCTCTCAATTTAGTCATCACAATTCCGACTCCAGCGTGGTATAACTTCTTATGTACATCAAAAATCAACTGTTGAACTAATGGATTTTTTCCATGAAGAATGGCAGGGAACTTGAAACCTTCTACTTCTTCCAATAAAACAATCTTAGTTTTAACTCTCATAATCCCAAATTGGTCTACACAAATAACGAGTCGACGTAGGGTTTTCTCATTCAACGGATGATCATCTTGAATATATTTAATTAAGATAATTTCTCCTTTCTCCAGCTCTTCAAATGTCAATTCACCATCCACTTTAGGTTTATTCCTTACTTTTTTTAGCAAATTACCAATGAAGCGATGTACCCATCCAAATATCTTGACATGTGTCATAAAAGTATAAGACCTCTTAGTACAATTTTGCACAGTCATGACATACTGACTCCTACATTTTCTGTCTTTTTCAATTCAGAATTTACTAAATCTTCAGCAACTTCTTCATTAGACCTAGGCCAGCTGTCACTTGAACTTTTTAACCACTCCGGTCCCTCCCACCATCTTTTCTCTAAAAGATGAGTCGGTAAGCAGCCTCTTGAAGGTAAGTCAGCTGGGTTCATGTTTCCGGGAACATGACTCCACTGTGTGGGATCAGTCAAATGTCGGATTTCTTTCACTCTGTTCCCAATGTATTGACCCCACATGTTGTCTCTCCTTATCCAGGCTAATGCAGTACTTGAATCAGACCAAAAAATAGTAAACATATCCTCAGCTTTTAATCCGTTTTTCACAGAAACAGCCAATCTTGTACCAATTAAGCAGCCTAACAATTCCAAACGTGGAATTGTTATCCTCTTAATCGGGGCAACTCGAGACAGAAATCAGTTGTATTGAAACTCCTCCCACATGTTCCACGCGGAGAAAGATCACAACACCATACGCCAAACCACTTGCATCCGTAAAAACGTGAAATGACCATTTACTTCGATCAAATTCACCTCCAGTTACACATCTAGGAATTCTGACTTGACTTAACTAATGTAGTTGTTCATACCATTCCGTAAATTTATTTTTCTCTTCGGTTGGGACAGGTTCCTTCCAATTCAATTTGTTAATGAATGTCTTCTGAAGTAAGACTTTCACTGGAAGCACAGCTGGACAGACAATACCAATAGGATCAAAAACTTGATGGGCAATAGACAGCATAACTTTCTTTGTGATAATTTCAGGTAAGGTAGGGAGTTTCACATCAACATACAATTCATCACAAACTCGATCCCACTGCATTCCTAGGACTGAAATCACATGACTATTCTTGTCTTCCATCTCATCTACATTTGACATCCAAAGTCTCAAGTCCATTCCAGCTTCAGCTAACAATTGAACTGATTTTGTTCGAAAATTGTTGTACTCCTCCACGGTATTTTCAGAACTGACACAGTTGTCCACGTATAAAGAATTATACAGTTTCTGGGCAATGTCTTTGTTTTCATTCTGAACATTTACCAAATGAAATTCTAACACTGCTCCAAGGATAAAGAGACTATTTCGTACCAAACATGACACGTTTATGACGGTATTCTAGTACGTGTTGTTTAGATTTATCTTTCCACCAAAGAAATCTCATACAATCTCTATCTTGTTCATTCACTTCAATCATCTGGAAAGCTTTGCGAATATCAGAAACAAATCCCACTTTCTTTTCTCGAAACAGTAACAACACATAAGGAATCATTTTGATAAAGATATTTCCTTTCTTAAGACACTCGTTCAATGAAGGTCCTTTTCCAACCTTACATGAGGCATCAAAAACAGGTCTAACCGGGGTAGTAGAACTGCTCAGTTTGATCACTGCTCGATGGGGGACATAGTGAACCTTTTCTTTCTTGTTACAGACAATAGGGTTGATTTCTTCGATAAAGTCTTCGTCTTTCCAAAGTTGAAACAATTTAGAATATTCTTCAAACAGTTTATTTTCTTCCAAACGTTTAGTAGCATGATTTAAACGTAACCTTGCAACTTCATGATTTGTAGGTAGTGGTGAGTGGTCATCTATCCAAGGAAGGGATACAACATATCTCCCATCTGCATTCCTTGTCATACAGTTGAAGAACTTTTGCTTATCTTCTTGTTCTTGCTGTTCCACAGATATCACATCGGTTTCATCTCGAATTCCAAGTAAATCGAGATCCCAAAGCTGTGAAACCGATGCATCTTGAATAGCCATAGACAGAATACACATTGATAAGTTATCTTCTCTTTCACCCATCCTCCCACACAACGTCCAACCTAACTTAGTTTCAATTGCTATGACTTCATTGGAAAGTGTTATCTTTTTTCCCGTCAGAAGTCTCCCATAAACGTCAGCACCAAGTAAGAATTCAATGTGGGTACATCCATCTCCCACATCTGACAACTTTATTCTTTTCCTGTTCAACTCTTTAACTACAAATAGAGTTACTTGAAACACGTGGGAAAAAGTTGCAGATCTTTTCTTCGTCACGTACTCCAATGATACATGAATATTCTTTTCCACCAATCTTGTCCAATGTCACATGATATATATTGTGAGTAATTACTTCCGTCTGAGTGCCTCCAAAGAGTGAATGAGTAATTTTGTTTGTTCCTTTTACTTCTAGTTCTAGATCCTTAGCAGTTGATTTCAAAATGTAGGATCTTTGGGAGCCGTTGTCTAAGAATATTCTCACTGTCTTCTCCTTAGTTCCACATCTTGCTCGAACTATAAGTGTCTGTAGAGCTATTTCTTTGCTACAAATCTGATTCACACATCCGGGCACATTTTCGGCAGTGGCAGATGTAGTAGAATCTGTAACTTTATTCCCTTTTGATTTATCAGCAAGGTTAGAACACATGACAGGATAATGTTTTCCGCCACAAATGAAACAGTTGAGATTCTTCTTATTCTTGCAGAATTTAGCCGGGTGTCCACTCTTGAAGCATGAAAAAACAAACTTGTTTTTCTTTTAGTACATCTC